TATCAACCGTAACGTCTCACCAAATAATATCAATATCATGACATTCCAAATCTCTTCTACGCTTACTGATAACTGTATTTTTTGTATATATAACAATCCCACCTCCAAATCCTAGTTGCCTATTTCTTCGATAGTAATCATGAGACAAACTGTTTAAAGTAAGGTCACCATCTGGAATTAATTGGTTAATATGTGTTTCTGTGAGACAAATTATATCATTTTCACAGAGTTCATACCCCATGCTAGATTTGTCTATCTCGTCCGATCTGTCTTGTACCTTTACGTGACATTTCGCGTAATTTTTACAATTCGATGTATTCATCCGCGTGTTAACTGTTTTAAATTGACAATTTGCATTTTAAATTTTCTGTTTTGTTATTATATGTATAGTTTTGATGTTGTTAAATATTTGATGTTGTAGATAAAATATATTTTACACTATCAAACACTTTGTAATCTATGTAAGGACGGACTATATTTTTACGCGGAAGCATTCAAACGTAGCTAAAGTAGTGAAGAGGTCATTATCATTTGAGGCCCAGGCGGTTTACTTGTAGTTTTTAGCGAAATTGAATATATTTTTTTCGAACTAAAAAGTGCGAAAAAAAATTCAATAAACTGTAACTGAGCAAGATCGGGTTATCTCAGTCTCGGGCTAAGATTCTGTAACATCCCAACCTCTGTTTGGACTTTGTTACAGAATCTTTACCCTCGACTGAGATAACCCGATCTCGCTCAGTTAAAGTTTATTGATTTTTTTTCTCGCACTTTTTAGTTCAAAAAAAAAGGTAATAGTCTATCATATCTAATTTATTTCTAATTGATCTTGCATTTAGATGAGAAATTTGGAGATTGCGCAGAGAACCAGGAATTAGTTCAATATCATAACACAATAGTAGAATTTTTAATACTAAATTAAAAAACACATTTTTCTCATTAAAGGTAAGAATATTAATATATAGTTTATAAGAAAAAAGCTTGGATGCATTATATAAAATGTTACTTCCATGTATGTCCTGTACCCGGAGTGTAAATAAATTTCGACAAGGCATCAACCGGTATCTACCTGGTAGAGTGCTGTTTCTGTTTTGGGTCACCGGATTTGCTTGTAAAGTTCCGGTTGTCAACCTCTTGGCGCTGTGACACTCCAATATGCCACTAAACCTACCAAAAAAGTCATTTTGTAGCCTTTGAAAGTTATGTTTTTATGAATCTAGACAGTTGTCACTAGTTTTGAACTCAAAATATGTTTGGTAATAACATATAGAAAATGATTTAGTTGTGTGAGTCATTTAAGCCATGTGCTTAATGAACCTGACCTCTCACACATTTTCTGTGTTTCCAGACACCTTTTTTTTAAAATACAGCCACTGTTATTGGGTCTTAGCACATTTTGTTCAGTATGTGAATATATATATAACTTGATAACACTTAATATTTGGGTTAAATCTGGACTAAATATGGCCTGTGGTAAAGCCTGAATAGTTGGACTGACCCTAATACTTTTATTAGGATTGTGTTCAATTTACTGAAATAATTTATCTGCATGTGTTTCAATATTACTATTATGATCTGTGTACTAGCTTTTAGCACCTTAATCTAAATAGAACAGAAATATAGTGTGCTGTTCTGCACAATTTTCATCCCCCCTTCTCCCCCTCCCTGTCCAACCACCTCTTCCCAGTTATTCGTAGGCCACTCCCTCATTCAAATTACGTTTATTTCTATGTTTAAAAGAAAGCAATGATTAAACTCAAGTTTAAAAACTCAATATCTCTAAAAAGTTTCAAATTGAAACTTAAATAACCTGTTTCAGCATACTCCCATGTGTAAAAGTACACCACAGCTTTTAGCACAGGTTACATAACACATTATTCACCCATTTTAAAGCACAATTCAGCATTAAGCACCATTTTATTGTTCGGTATAATAAATGTGGTAACTCGAAGTGTATGATAGTTGTTAACTGGCTTCTGCATGAAGTTGCACTGTCATAGTTTTATATTCAGACGCTCCAGATTTGAACATGTTTTTTGTTGAGTCTTATGATTTTTGAATTTTTCATTTTGTCATAGGTTGAATGTCTCTACATAACTGTTTAATATACCGTGCGCAACAAGACTATGAACAGCAAGTAGCCCCTCAGCACCACAGAACAAGCTTTTACAAAAGTTGCACATGTGAGTATCTGTATGTGTATGTGTCACATATAGATTTTTGGCTAAATCCAACTTAAATTCCCTTTTTTTAGTGAATTGTAGATTTATGGTTATTCCTGTCATACTATATACCTTCACCAACATCTTGTTTATTGATTTAATGTGTTTCTATTGTGTGTTTACTCAGATAATTAACTGTTTATAGCATTACATCTCCCCTATCCCCAATATTCTCCCTGTAAAGTGCCGGCACTCCAGGTAGCAAGAAGTGCTATGTATAAGTCTGTATAATTGATAGCTGATCAGTTGAGATGGATATCTGATAATCTTTAATGACTCATGTTTTGTGTAGAATTTTTGAGTTTTGTGTGAATTCTAAATGTGTTAAATTGTCAAAATTCTATCATTTACTCAAAATAAGTATTTGATTACTTAAGATACTGTAAAAATTACATTAACAGAGTCACCAAGATTTCTTTTCAAAAATACGTGAGTGGTATGGGTAATAAATGTGTGTGCAAAATATGAATTTGCTGAGTGTGTGCTAAATTGGTGTGCTAGAGGTTAATGTTAAGTAAGTGAAATGAGAATTGTATGGTGCTGACTCTGAATAGCACATGTATATCGGGGGCTATGATTTGATTTTTCTTCATAACTTATCATTTATTTAACCATTTCCTCGGTTATGTATATACTTTTAAAAACTTACTTCATTTCAACATTTTAAAATGTAAAGTTTCCCTTTAAGGACTCACACAACTAAATCAGCCAATCAGCAAGTGTTTCATACGTATGTAGTTCCTATCTGAAATAAGTTCCGGCTAATTACTGGGCCACTGAAGGAGTTTAATAAGGAACTGATGACAGATTTTTAGATAAATGAAATGTTCAGGTATTTAATTTTTGAAAAATATATACTTTTGATATATTTTTATGTCTCTGTGCGGATTTGCACAGGGGCAAAATGTCTGGGGGCGTTTCTGTTTCGGGTCACCGGTTTTGCTTGTAAACTTCCGGTTGTCAACTTCTTGGCGCTGTGACACTCCAATATGCCACTTAACCTACCAAAAAAGTAATTTTGTAGCCTTTGCAAGGTATGTATTTATGAATCTAGACGGTTGTCACTATTTTTGAACTGCAAATATTAAAGTTATTAGCTAAAATGTTTGGTAATAACATATAGTAAATGATTAAGTTGGGTGAGTCCTTTGAGCCAGATTCCGGAACTCCCAGTCCGGCACCGGCTTAATTTATGTAATGGTTACTGTTCGCTCTCTTGTATCCGCCTTGCTTTTGAGTAAAGCTACCGTTCGTGTGTAAGTGATTATTTTTGTGATGTTTAACCTCACTGGCGTAAAATCAGATAGCGGTGTCGGTCATCACGGTTAATCCAGCACGTGTATAATATAAATTAGGCAATTCCATTATGGGTGGGAAAATTTGATTGTTCACAGGCATATGAAACCATCCGTGACGAACCACTACGCTTTGTCACCACAGGTAAGTATTATAAATATATGTGCAAAACACATTTTGGGGAAATATTTGCAAGGATTTATTTTTATATTTAAAAAAAAAGTGAAAGTAAATTTAGTAAACAGGTTATAAACATTATGAAAACATTACGTTGGGTGTCAAGGATTTGGCACATGTTTACGAATAATTTGGACAAATCAATTATGAACGAGTGTAGTCGATAAAGTCACAACATACCATCCGTGACGACCAACCCAGCTGATCAACAAGGTAAATGTTTACACAGAAAGGGTAGATGAAAAGGCACTTCTGTTTCAAACTGTATACCCATGTACACATCATAGAAAATCAAGTTGCACTCGAGAGTAAAGATAATACTTTAGAAATCGGTATAGTATTTTTACGTTACAAAATGTATGTATATTGTATGAAGATACAGTACAACACACTTGTGAAATTATAGTTAAAGTATTGCAAGCACGGTAATTAAATGGCAGTAAACATACTGATGATTTACATACTTGTTATGTACTCGTGGTTTGGTTCATTTACTAATAACACTGTAAAACTGAACAGTGTTATTGTCAAACATTTAGTAACAAATTATATTATCGTTTCAAGATATCGGACTATAGCTTTCTTTGAAAGTTGTATTCATTTGTCAAATACGTGAAGTCCATTTGGAAAGTGCCGACATTGAGACGCGTTGAGCAAGAGTCCTGGGCCCGGTCCGCCGGGGAGGGGTTCGGGATAGCTGTGTAGCTCACGCAGAGAGGTGACGTGCGCCTTTTGCTGGAGGTTATCGCGAATAACAATGCGACCGTCAATGGTCCACGAACCAGATATGTGTTTGTTCTTTCTTAACCACAGTGTCTTACTGTACACTTCCATCCGCTGTTTCGTCAGTGCTTTATTTATGTGTGTGGTTGTTGACCAGACTTTTCACCTTTATTCGACTTAATCGGGTTGAATCTTGCCTCGTAGACTGTAGCTCGCGTGCAATAAGATAAAAATTGGACAATAATGTCTCAAGGTCGATCAGCACTTTTTGGACCAACTCGATGTGTTCTGCTGATATCGCTAGGAACTACCGCTACACCGAGCGCGTCATTACAAGTTATGAAGGTCATTCCAATATGGCTCCGACACCAAACTGTATATCAAATTCAATAATGCATTCCTGTCACAAAAAATCCTCCTCCAATATTTCTCAAACATAATTGAGGTACATCCACACTAAATTTCATAAAAAATATTCAATAACTGATGAAAAAACTCACTTTTTATATGTTTATTTTCCAAGCTGAATAAAAGTCACAATTCAGGAAAAAACTCATTTAAACTTGTAAATAACATAAGGTTGGATGTCCATGGAGGTGCATTTGTCGAGAAAAATATAAGAAAAAGCTTCAAATCTCGAGAGTGATGAAATGTATTTTGATTGGGTATTTCACAATAATTCATAAAGCTAACACGACTTTTGATACAAGTCAAGCCATATTACCTGAGTGAGAACCTGTAGTGAATGATGTACAGGTAAAGTTTCAATTGCTTTGCCTGCTCTTTTCCAAGCTCAGTCAGCCTTGTTCACTTTGTGCTCAGTTGTGATTTATTCAGATTTGACACATTTTCTTACATTTTTCTCGACAAATGCATCTCAATGGACATCCCACCTTATGATATTTACAAGTTTAAATGGATTCTTTTTACTGAATTGTGACTTTTATTCAGCTTGGAAAATGAACATATAAAAAAGTGAGTTTTTTCATCAGTTATTGAATGTGTGTTTTTTTTTAAAATGTAATGTGCATGTACCTCAATTATGTTTGAGAACTATTGGAGGAGTATTTTTTTGTGACAGGGATTGTTTAATGCTACCGGAATGCATTATTGAATTTGATATACAGTTTGGTGTGGCAGCCATATTGGAATGACCTTAAGATGAGATCATCAATACTCTCTCGTTCCGTCTCAAGGATATCTTCCATTTTGTCCATTCGATCTGTCAATGCTACTATCTCGGTCTAGAGATTGTCAATACCCATTGACGACTGTAAAGTCTGTTTAAATATAGCATTGTCCATAAGTATGCCCACTACCTGTTTTACCGATAATGTCTATCCAAAATATAAACACAATTATATATCTTGAGTATATGAGTAAAGTCAATATTTAGTATCGCTCGGTAAGGCACGTACACACATGTACGACTGCACGCTTTTCCTTGGGTCACTCACAGGTACGGAATGAGAGCTAAATAGTTAGTCTGTACTTGTAGAGTAGATGATTCAACATATGCAAATTAACGTGTATCGTTCCTCCTCCTTACTCACTTGTTTACATGGCCATGTCCCGTATCACGGCCCCAGCAGTTTATGTTCTCAGAGCAAATTAACGTGTATCTTTCCTCCTCCTTACTCACTCGTTTACATGGCCATGTCCCGTATCACGGCCCCAGCAGTTTATGTTCTCAGAGCAAATTAACGTGTATCTTTCCTCCTCCTAACTCACTTGTTTACATATTCATGTCCCATATCACGGCCCCAGCAGTTTATGTTCTCAGAGCAAATGCATACCAGCTCAGGTAGCGCCATGCTATATATAGCCGAAAATGAAAGACTATCCACATGTGGTTGGGTTTAGTGATTCAATGATTTTATTTTACAGTGGTTTACATTTCAATAGCGATATGACATTACATGGCCAGGAAGCATTTTTAATTGGAGGGAAGGAAAGCACAGATCCTCAGATCGTCAGTTGCAAATGAATACTGGTAAAAAATATTTTATGCAAGTAACAATAACAATATATTTATACATGTACTTGTTCTGTAACGCTTTCACCCTTAACAAAGGAAATTCATATAAATCGGCCGGGCGTCTGCATAAAAGCAATGAACTATACGCACAGTATAATTTACAACTACATTTTAAACTACACTTTATTAAATAAAATATATTAAAATTAATTCTAAAAAAGCAGTAAAAAACATACATTTTAGAATCGAGTAATTCGAAGCAAATCGGACGTTTTTGCATTGTTACAGTTTTAACAATGCAGTATGTATTGCAGTGGTACAATTTTGACATTGCAGATGTCTTGTGTGCCAGTTTACACTTTTGAATATGAATTGTGTTTCAGATTTCCAAGAAGTTAAGGTGAAATCTGTCGTTAACAGACACATTTGACTTCAAAGCGAAGAAGGCACTAGACAGGTTCAGTATAGAAGGAAGATCGGGAAGATGAGTCCACGTTAAAACACCAGCTATATATCGGTCCACGTTAAAACACCAGCTATATATCAGTCCACGTTAAAACACCAGCTATATATCAGTCCACGTTAAAACACCAGCTATATATCAGTCCACCTGTACCCCTGCAGCGGCTGAACGATCGCTTTTGCCAAGCTCTACTCCATTTCCTTTCCATACTAGACCCCCACTATTAAATACTACACCACCAATTCCAAAACATGACGTAAACGCCGCACATCAGATTGAACCATCTAAACAATGTGTTCTGTTCGAAACTTTCGACTCGACGACCTCTGGACATTTATCTTCACCTGCAAAGTTATCTATTACCGGAAAGACACTGACCAACTCTGGATTCACTCAGACTTTACGTAACAAGTCGAATATCGATATTCAATCAACATATACAATACCAGTTTATACACAATCTCCTATCAATATCCCAGGTTCAACCTCAGTGTCTACCAAGTCCCAAATATCTAATACCATACAAACAACCCCAGTGTCTACCACGTACAACAAATCTAGTACAAACACAACAAGCCCAGTGTCTACAATGTCTCACAAATCTAGTACAAACACTACAACCCCGATGTCTAACCAGTCCCACAATTCCAGTTCAAACACTACAACCCCGGTGTCTACCATGTCCAACAAATCTGGTACAAACACTATAACACCGGTGTCTACCATATCCCACAAATCCAGTACAAACACTACAAACCCAGTGTCTACCATGTTCGACAAATCTAGTACAAACACAATAACCCAAGCCTCTACAACGTCTCACAAATCTAGTACAAACACAATAACCCCAGTGTCTACCAAGTCCCAAATATATAATACCATACCAACAACCCCAGTGTCTACCACGTACAACAAATCCAGTATAAACTCTACAACCCCGATGTCTAACCAGTCCCACAATTCCAGTACAAACACTGCAACCCTGGTGTCTACCATGTCCAACAAATCTGGTACAAACACTATAACACCGGTGTCTACCATATCTCACAAATCTAGAAAAAACACTACAACCCCGGTGTCTACCATGTTCGACAAATCTAGTACAAACACTATATTACCGGTGTCTACCATATCTCACAAATCTAGAACAAACACTACAACCCCGGTGTCTACCATGTTCGACAAATCTAGTACAAACACAATAACCCAAGCCTCTACAACGTCTCACAAATCTAGTACAAACACAATAACCCCAGTGTCTACAATGTCCCTCAAATCCAGTACAAACACTACAACCTCAGCGTTAACCACGTCCAACAAATCTAGTACAAACACAACAAGCCCAGTGTCTACGATGTCTCACAAATCTAGTACAAACACTACAACCCCGGTGTCTACCATGTCCGACAAATCTAGTACAAACACAACAACCGCGGTGTTAACCACGTCCAACAAATGTAGTACAAACACTACAACCCGGATGTCTACCATGTCCAACAAATGCAGTACAAACACTAGGGCCCCAGTGTCTACAATGTCTCACAAATCTAGTACAAACACTACAACACCGGTGTCTACCGTGTCCCACAAATCTGGTACAAACACTACAACCCCAGTGTCTACGATGCCCTGCAAATCTAGAACAAACTCTACTACCCCGGCGTCTACCATGTCAAACAAGTCTAGTACAAACACAACAACCCTAGTGTCTACCTTGTCCAACAAATCTGGTACAAACAAAACAACCCCAGTGTCTACCGTGTCCGACAAATCTGGTACAAACATTACAATCCCAGTGTCTACCACGTTCATCAAAGCTGGTACAAACACTACGACCCCAGTGTCTACCAGGTCCAACAAATTTAATATACAAACTACAATCCCAGTGTCTACCACATCCATCAAATCTGGTACAAACACTTCGACCCCAGTGTCTAACAAGTCTCACAAATCTAGTACAAACACTACAACACCGGTGTCTACCGTGTCCCACAAATCCAGTACAAACACTACAACCCCAATGTCTAACAAGTCTCACAAATCTAGTACAAACACTACAACACCGGTGTCTACATTGTGTCACAAATCTGGTACAAACATTACAACCCCAGTGTCTAACAAGTCTCACAAATCTAGTACAAACACTACAACCCCGGTGTCTACCGTGTCCCACAAATATGGTACAAACACTACAACCCCAGTGTCTACAATGTCCCTCAAATCCAGTACAAACACTACAACCCCAGTGTCTACAATGTCAATCAAGGCTGGTACAAACACTACGACCCCGGTGTCTACCGTGTCCCACAAACATGGTACAAACACTACAACCCCAGTGTCTACAATGTCAATCAAAGCTGGTACAAACACTACGACCCCGGTGTATACCGTGGTCAACAAATCTGGTACAAACACTACAACCCCAGTGTCTACCACGTCCATCAAATCTGGTACAAACACTACGACCCCGGTGTCTACCGTGTCCCACAAATCCAGTACAAACACTACAACCCAAGTGTCTACCATGTCCCACAAATCCAGTACAAATACAACAACCCTAGTGTCTACCATGTCCCACAAATCTAGTACAAACACTACAACCCCAGTGTCTAACAAGTTCCATAAATCTAGTACACACACTACAACCCCATCGTCTAACAAGTCCCACAAATTTAGTACAAACACAACAACCCTAGTGTCTACCATGTCCCATAAATCTAGTACAAACACTACAACCCCAGTGTCTAACAAGTTCCCCAAATCTAGTACAAACCCACCAACCCCAGTGTCAACCACGGGAAACAAATAGTACAAACACAACAACCCCCGATGTCTAACCAGTCCCACAATTCCAGTACCAACACTGCAACCCTGGTGTCTACCATGTCCAACAAATTTGGAACAAACATTACAACGCCAGTGTCTACTTTGACCAACAGATCTAGTACAAACACAACAACCCTAGTGTCTACCCTACCATGTCCAACAAATGCAGTACAAACACTAGGGCCCCAGTGTCTACAATGTCAATCAAAGCTGGTACAAACACTACGACCCCGGTGTCTACCGTGTCCCACAAACCTGGTACAAACACTACAACCCCATCGTCTAACAAGTACCACAAACCCAGTACAAACACAACAACCCTAGTTTCTACCCTACCATATCCAACAAATCCAGTACAAACACAACAACCCTCGTGTCTACCATGTCCCACAAGTCTAGTACAAACACTACAACCCCATCGTCTAACAAATCCCACAAATTTAGTACAAACACAGCAACCCTAGTGTCTACCATGCCCCACAAATCCAGTACAATCACTACAACCCCATCGTCTAACAAGTACCACAAACCCAGTACAAACACAACAACCCCCGATGTCTAACCAGTCCCACAATTCCAGTACAAACACTGCAACCCTGGTGTCTACCATGTCCAACAAATCTGGAACAAACATTACAACGCCAGTGTCTACTTTGTCCAACAGATCTAGTACAAACACAACAACCCTAGTGTCTACCATGTCCCACAAATCCAGTACAATCACTACAACCCCGGTGTCTACCACGTCAAACAAATTTAGTACAATCCCAGTGTCTACCACGTCCATCAAATCTGGTACAAACACTACAACCCCTGTGTCTACCATGTCCAACAAACCTGGTACAAACACGACAACCCCAGTGTCTACCATGTCCAACAGATCTAGTACAAACACAACAACCCAAGTGTCTACCATGTCCAACAAATCTGGTACAAACACTACAACCCCAGTGTCTACCATGTCTCACAAATCTAGTACAATCACACCAACCCCAGTGTCAACCACAGGAAACAAATCCAGTACAAACACTACAACCCCAGTGTCTAACAAGACCCTCAAATCTGGTAAAAACACTACAACCCCAGTGCCTACCATGTCCCACAAATCTAGTACAAACACACTAACCCAAGTGTATACCACAGCAAACACATCCAGTACAAACTCTACAACCCCAGTGTCTACCATGTCCAACAAATATGGTACAAACTCTTCTACCCAAGTGTCTACCATGTCCCACAAAGCTAGTACAAACTCTACAACCAAGGTTGCTTCCACGAGTGCTTTCTCGTTCATGGACTCTAATAGTGTACAAGAGAATGTTCAAGTGACATGTTCTGAACAATGTGCTCATACATCATTGAAGCACATACAGATCAATACGAGTACGGCAACAACCGTGTCCTCAAGTATTCGACCAAATGTGCTGAAGTGGAATGAGGTTAAAACCTCTGATGAAGTCGTCGACAGGGCAGTCTATAACCAATGGCAGCGTGAGAAATGGAACCTGCATGACAAGGTAGGATGATACACACATGTATAAATAATTAACTTGTGTTAATGGTTGTTTGTATATGTTAAACCCCCCTAAAAAACAAGGTTTGATCACAGATGTGTAAATAACACAGTACATTCAGTAAAGAATATTATAGAAATACCTAAGTAAGGGTTTTCTAGCATCTAAACCAACAGCTCTGGTCGCTAACTTAAAAAAACTCCTTTACGTCATGTTCAAAACTTCTTGGATGCCACGAGGGTAAATTTCAATAAGGTTATGTGTTTGTTAACAGCATTGCACTCGTGTTCGTACATTAAAAAGCATTGTATGTGCAGAATACGTATATTGAACATATCCATGCATGTCTTAAAAGATGTTTGGTCTACTTTATAGGATTGGTAGATTAGGTCCCAGAAGTTTCACATATCAGGTTGATACAGAGAGTTACAATGTAACATAATATGCTGTTTTAAGCTTCAAATATACATTCAGATGAAGCAAAAGTTAAACACTTGTGGCGTAATAAAGGGTGATAAGTACCTTTCCAATTGCTGCCTTTGTACATATTTTCCAAACTACTTGAACTATAATTAGCGCTTCCTAACTTCAAATTCAGTGACTCATTCTTCAAATACAATGAACTGTTAGTGTGCGAGTACTTCAAAAGTCTCCGAGAAATCCCCATGTGATATCCTGACCAGGGGAATATCTTACCCTACGAGCGTCCGAACCTTGAATATTCCCATATAACATATGCGTTTATTACATTTTTCAGATAGTGACTTCGGTTATCCTGTGGGGCCAAGGAGTCCAAACGCCATCAACATTCCATATAGACATCAAACGCGCAAACGAACCTGATCTAGAATTTCTTCTGTTGCAAGTAACCAATTTGAAAACTCACGCGATATTTCAAACATTTATCAGAAATAGTCGTGCCTCTGAGATCCGTAACTTCATGTGCCCATATGACGTATTGGAAGCGTCCACAGCAACAGTAACTGTACACGGTGTACGCATGTCTGGTGTGAACAATCGTCTTTGGTACACCGTCCTGACTGGAGACAAGAAAACAGTGCTCTTTAGAGATGGTAACTGTTGTTAATGATATCATTTGATAATAACCTCAACTATCTATCATCGATATATTTATGAGTATCTTCACTAGGTAAATTAGTAGATTTAAGTTTTTAATTTGCACTGACAAAATCATAAACGCCATTGATTATCTTGGTAAAATTGCAATGGTAATAGACGTTTGATTTACAAAAAAATATGCACATATGTTTGGTTATAACTGAAAATCGAATTGCTGCATATTTTTGATACACAGGCCTGAATTACACTGATCTGATGATGACTGCACAACCTATAAGAACATACCAAGATTTTGTAGCAGATGATTCGAAAAAGGTAAATTAATTTTGTTTTCAGAGAGATGTGTTATATCAACAGACAGGCCAGCGTGGGATGCACGTAGGTAACATTTAAACATGTTTTTGATTCTCTGATATAGATTGAATTTGCCCTTAAATGGTAATATTTCTGGCTTCATACGATATTCTCACAGGCCAATAGGTTACAGATAAATCTGCTTATTTCTGCCATAACCTTTAGCCTTTGTTTATTTGTTTATATGGGATGAGGTTTGAAGTCCCATCAAAAGCTAAGGCCATGTTAAGTCCGGTACCTAGGGAGAACCTGCCGTTAAATAAGAGTTGGTAGGGAAGTGAGAAAAGAAAACACACAGATCCAAATACTGCCCTACGGGCAGCAGATCATCTTTGTTAATGAATGTATGAGTTAGTATTATCAACAGTATCTATTTTATAGGTTCATCTCCTTCGTCTTTCTTCAATTTTCCCCAAGCAAAAGACATGGAAGAAAACCTTGTCTTAAGTTCACCGCAAATTATGAAATTGATACTATTTTTAATAATTTAGTCCCGATCTTATTTATGCGAAACAATGTAATATTAGTAATTTAATGACGAGCCACCATGTGTGTTATATATATATGTGAGTGTGTAAAAGACGGACAGTTGCCTCTTATTAATAGAGCGGATCTGATACCAGCCTTGGACTGCAACTTCACTAATACACCATCAAAACCCTGCAGGTCGGAGATCGAGAAAAGGATACCTCTGCTGTTATCCACTGCATCCATCGTTAAAGGCGATATAGGTTGGGACCCACTGCAGAATTGGGGATTTGCTATTGGGTCCTCTTTTTCGAGACACAAAAATGATCAATAATAAATCTGCTGCACCCATTGCAATATTTGGGATTTTTAGATTTCTGTATTCTCTCAACTTCCCTTTATTTACTAGCGCATTGCTTGGCAAAACCTATATATAAATATTTTGGCTCTAATGCTGAGCTGAGGAAGGCAATTAGTTCCGTCCCCAGGCCGGGACATACCAAGGTCCTTAAAAATGGTAGTTGTTATTCCCTGCTTAACGTTCAGCATTAAAAGGAATGGCAAAAACTGGTTCACCCGTTGTCAGTAAAATGAGACCGGGCGGAATGTTGTGCTGGTTGACATCGGCACTCCCTTACAGTGAGATAGTTCTATAAAGTCAGTATCAGATCCGATCTATCACAAGGCAGCAAGCACACCAACACACCCTGTCTCTTGCACACACCCAGACACACACATATGCAAGCACGCATACACAACACGCTTGGAGTAGCACGTCATTAAATGACCTAGGCTGTTAGTAGCGTTAAACAAAATAAAAACAAACCAAACCTAACACTATCATAACAAAAATGATACGTTATGTTAAACAGTTAAATTGTAATTATATGTAAAATTAGTGCTGAATATTTAGTAGGGATGGCAACTACCATTTTAAAGGTCTTTTTGTATGTCCCGTTCTGGCACAGAACCCATTGCCTTCCCCATTTGGTAAATTGCTTGACGCTAGGAAATCAAAAATTTGGTAGAAAGAATGGATTAAAAAAAAGGATAGGGTTACCAGGATAAGTTTGCAGTGGGTGTTTCGGATTTATTTTGGTCGCTTTATTGTCTCGTAGCAGAGTGCACAATTATGCAGGTGTTCCCATATTAGTTGTCTCTTCCAACTGAATGGGTTCCACAAAAATATCATTTTTACCAGCCAGAAATATGTATAAAGGACAGTTATTTACAATGTCATGAATTGTACATGTTGTCATAGTTATATTCCATTTACCCGTTCTCTCACTTCAGGGATCCTACCATGTAACTGTAGTCAGTACCGGCCCACGGCGGTACATGTTGACAGACCTACAGCACAGGGACGAACACACGGACGCCTTTATTATTACTCTTTATCAGACTCACCCTCCAGCCGCATGTATAATGATATACCATGGTTCAGAAACAACGTATGAGATCCCCTTCAATCTAAACCCCGCCACAGAGTATAAACTACAGCTGTTCAGAGTCTGCACGAGATACGTCATGAATGACGTGTTTTTTATTGGAAATTCATACTCAACCGTAACAACTTTTACTGCACGTAAGTGTATAAAGAATAATAACGAACTCTGTTTGCCCATTCATACAAACACAGAATATATCAAAGAAATGCACTTGTGAACAAATTTGTATAATTGTCTCAAATACTGTTCTGAACAGTAAAGTGGCTGTTTCATACAAAAGTAGTCCGGTTTAGATATATTGAAAAATGCCTGTATAACATTAACGTTCTCTGACACTAAACACAACATTTCTGTTAGTATATACACACTAAAAAACAGGTAAAACATATTTTTAACATTACTATAAAGCAATCTGCACTTCGAAGCGTGACAGCCTCCATTCTGGCTTAGAGATATACATGTATGCATGTAGAACAACACGTCACACTTGACCCTGTAAAAAGCTATGTTTATTTCAGATATGACGCAAAATGAGGTGTTGGAACTTTACATCAAGGCGACACGTTTCGTTTTAAGAAGACCGCCCAACTATTTCAATATTTCTCATTTCTATCGCAATAAGTCCGAGGAGTACTTTAACAATATCATGAATACAGATGGTTTGATGCACAAGTACGACAAGAACTTCGGGGGAGATCAGGCCTCCACACTCAACAAACAAGTACAGGGTCTGTTCTTCAGCGCAGCCGTGGACCCGGTGACACGTTTACCTCCAGACTTTTCCTTTTTCGGGCCAGTAAGGTTACATGTCCCCACATTCGTCCTGTTGAACCGCAACATGAACATGTATTTCTCTGACTTCTACTGTCACTATTTTAATCACAAGGACCAATTGGTCCTTACGGTCAAGGGCAGTCCGACTGACCACTACTGTAGTGAACGACTCGTTCTGGTTGACCAGACCAACAACCCGTTTCTCATTAGATACGGTTTCACTGAAATTGTCCAAGTAACAATGAACGTTACAGTAGAAGTATTCTACACTGAGGACTTACATGTCGCGGCTTTGATGTTGTTCAGTAATGTGTTCTTTACCACAACAAAACAACAGGGAAACGCTTTGGCCATGGTAAACGGCATTCCGAAAAACAGGCACTGTGGCGTATGTAATTTGGACTGTTTCCTTCTCGCTCACAATATGCTGTAATGATTCAGCGGACACGACATAGTTATATTTTGTTTACATCTGCTATATAACCTAACGTTTTATGCAACAGTATAGTTTCGCTTTCACTGAGAGATTTTTTTTAAACAAAAGTGAACTTGCTCAGAATGAAAAGAATATATATATGAGAGCTTCCAGGGCTGAGCATCCTGGAAATAGCTTCCCGTACAATCTGTTGTCCTTACTTAGGGGGTATTGCAAACAACGCCATTCTTTTAATATACAAAATAATAATCTTGCATCTGTCATTCTTATATTTATTCATAAATACCTTACTTAATATTATATTTTTATCTTTCACCACAATGTTGCACCATACCTCTTACATTCCAAGACGTCGCATTTCATTCCGTATTGTATTTTAGAAGAAAAACATTAGTAAATAAAGAAAATATTGATCAAATAATGATCCCCATCTTTGTTTATTCTAAAATATAAAAAATAATATGAATCTAATACATAAACTTATACCACTATGTTTTTAAGACCAACTTACATGATATATACCCCACCTACAGCCCTAAGCAAAATTAAAAGTCAAAATAATTTCGAAAATACTAAATGTTGGACATTGTATAAGACATTAGCTACACAATGTTCGACATTGTATATATAACACATGCAATGCTCTTTTTTGACATTATATAACTAACCTGCAGACCACATATTTTACATAAAGCGGACTGTATATTTAACATTTTGAATTTTTCGTCTAACATTAAGTTAGCAACTTGTTCCGCTGTATATAGTGAGAAACACTATAGGATAACGTATTCATGTTTTATTTTACTTTAACAACAAGGTTTAATAAGTTTAGTTTGGTTTAATTTTGTTTAACGTCCTATTAACAGCTAAGGTAATTTAAGGACGTGCCTCTATGTGTGTATGCAGGAGACAGGGTATGTTTGAGTGCTTGCCTCCTTGTGATAGCGCGGATCTGATTCCGACTTTATAAAGCTTTCTCACTGAAATGCCATGCCCAAGACACCCAGCACAGCATTTCGTCCGGTCACATTATACTGACAACAGGTGAACCAGTTGTTGCCATTCTCCTAAATGCTGAACGTTAAGCACGGAATAACAACTACCATTTTTAAGGAATTTGGTATATCCCGGCCTGCGGACAAAACCCATAACCTTCCTCACCTGAACGAACGCTCAACATTCAAGCCAAAAGTAAAGCAAATCCTCAATTCTGCAGGGGTTACAAAATAATTCGGTTTAGTGCCTGTTAGCCTGATCAATCATCTCGAGAGCTTAATCTCTGTGCTGATCATATCAACTTTTATCACATCAAGCGAGCTATAAACATGATTGACTAGGCTACACACTGAGGGCACACACTGTATAATTTGATGGTTTCATTACTGTTGTCAGTAACACCCTGTAATAACTTTTATGTTCATACATTTGTGATAAAGTATCAACTGAAACTTTCCTATATTGCCTCGGTTAACAATATCACCAAAGCTCAAGATTCAGTTGACTTTTGTGATAATGTTTGTTCTGGGTTTGTTTTTTTGTTGTTGGTGCTTTTTTAAAAACATCAAGGGCAATCATTTGTACATTTGTTTATTTTGTTTTCAGTATTATGATGCAATACATGCAGATACACTGATTTCCATTTTTCTTTTTTACAACAATACCATCATTTTTGTTTCGATTTTTTCCAATTTCTCATTTTCTCACCATTGTTACGCTATATCACCATAGTTACATTACATTATCACAATATATCCATAGTAACACTTGATCACCATTGTCACACAATATCATTTCAGCTACTCTTGATTACATTATTAACTCCTAATTACTATTGTTACTCTACATCACCATAGATACACCATATTACAATAGTTACACTGTGACAACAGTTATCTATGTCAGCATGGTTACACTCTGTCATCATATCAAAGTTACACAATCTCATCACAATTTCTCTTAATTATTAAAGTTACACTATATCACCATAGTTACACCATACTACAATAGTTACACTATGTGACCATAGTTACCCCATACTACAATAGTTACACTCTATCACAGTATCACCATTATTCAATATATCTCCAAAATACACGTTATAACCATAATTACACAACGTAACCATATTTACACTTATCACCACAATTACAATCTATCAATATGGTGATGCCACAATTGTACTCCATTACCATACTTTCATTGTATCATATCAGTTACATGACATTACCATATTTACACTATTAACATGGTTACTCTAAATCACAGTTACACGATATAACCATAAGTGCACTATAATACCATAGTTAATCTCAATTACCATATTTACACTACATTACCATAGTAACACTATATGACCACAGTAACACTATGTTAGCACATCTTTATTTAAGACTGTATCACCATAGTTACAATTTATCACCAGGGATACACGTTATAACTGTAGTTACGATATATTACTCAAGTTACATTAATCACCACCGTTATAATTTATCATCATGGTGAAACTTCTATCACCATAGTAACACTATATGACCACAATTATACTTTATCAGCAGTTACAGTAAATCAGTACAGTAACACGTTGTTACATTATAGCACCACAGTTATACAATATTACAATAGTTACTCTATATTACCATAGTTAAGCTATATTACCATACTTCTGTTACCATGGCTACACTTTATAATAATATCAATTTTTATTACTTCAGTTGTATTTATACTAATAGTTACACTTTATTTAGCAGAGTTACACTATCATAGTGACACTATATCAATATACATATAGGATCTTAAATGAGTTTTCATTTCATGAGATTTTATGAAACGAGTTTTAGGAGGTTTTTGTGTGCGAGCCTTGGCGAGCAAAAGTTAAAACTTTGAGACGAGTTTTGAAAAAGCTCATATGAAATAAAAAAGAATTGAAGATACCTTTTATCACTTAACTCAAAAAAATTACATTTTGACAGGTTTTAAAGTCAAAATGTAGAGTGCCATTCACAATTTATGATGTCACGTCATTGTCCATATAGTGACGTCACAATCGATTTCTGACTGGCACTGTCAATGAAAAACGATCCAGGGTCCATTATACTAGTGGCATATGTAAAAATATTACACGGGCGAATTCACTGGATAACAGGCCGATTATGTGATAAATGTACATATACTACTACCTATTATTAGTGATTATTTGATGGCATAAAATATCCTCATTTATTGGTTTCGTTGTCCTAGATAAGTTCCTATATTAAGTTATAACATTTCGTTAAATATTGTAAAAGCAGAGGTATCAGTAATGTTCTTGTTTTGGTATGTCACTATATTTTGAATTTTTAAAATTGTATATTTCATATTTCTTGTAAACGTGTAAAATAAAATATTTTGGTCGTCTTCAAAATCCTCAAGAAAATATTTCTCTTCATTTCTAATGATGTCAATTGATTTCCATTTCAAGAAAGGATTATCAGATGAAGTTCTTCATGTAATATTAACTGCTGTACATAATTACAATTGTAAATCTGATGACATTGTGATGCTATGTTTTCACAAAAATGACTTTTTTTTGTCAGATCTAATTATTTATTGTAATTTTGCTTCAGTAAATACAGTCCCATGAACAAAATTCCAATCGAAATGCTTTAATTGTTTGGAGAAACTGCAGGATGCTTAGTTTTTGTCCAAATAGTTCCCCAGTTTTGTATTTGATTTTTTCTAGAACGATAGTAATCTTCCCATTTTATTTCTGCGTTAGGTTTTCAGTTAGACACTAACTATTTTGTGTATCTTATTTTCTTGAAGCGTTTTATGTAGAATGATAATGTGACAATTTTGTTACGTTATTTTTATCAATGAGTTGTAATTCACAATTAATGAAGCACTCCTTATCTTGGTGCACATCATTTGTCAGTATTTGTTGATACTTATGTGCGATTGATTCTCAATTGTTGTGATTTTGATATCCAATTGAGTTTTCCTAACATTCTTTGTAATATCTGTTGATGTTGTCAAAGTTATTTGTTGAAATGATGTGTAGTGCAGGGACTAAGAGTTAACCTTAAAAAGTGAATTTTTGAATAATTTCTGGTTTAAGACTTTACTTTTACTATTGTTTGGGATTCTAGCTCTAAAACGTGACCAAGATTTAGTACAATGTTAACAAAATTTTGGAATGTTATTCAAATTAATACCTTCTAGACAGGAACATGAACAAATGAAACATTTATTACAAAATCTATCAAATTTCTGAATATTCAATTTGACGTTTGTCTTTTACTTTTAAGTTTGGCTTGATGTTTTTTATTTAGCATTTGTTTTTTGTCGACCATTTGTTGGCCCTAATGACCTATCCTGTGTTGAAGGGCCGTTAAGCATTGGTAATACATGTAATAATATTCTGCAGGAAGAATTTTTATTTTGTATAAATACATCAATATCAGCCATATTTATTCTTACCCTTATGAGTGAGAGTTCTGTTTATTATTATGTACATATAATCAGTTCTTAAGTTTTGAATCTTTTCTTTACAAATGTCTATATTATATCCACGATGGACTCCTAGAGTTTTTGGTCCATTTGATTTGAATGAAAATGGTTTTATTTTTCCGTTTCCCTAGGTTTGGTTTGGTTTCATTTTGTTTAACGTCCTATTAACAGCTAAGGTCATTTAAGGACATGCCTCCATGTGTGTAGTGTATGCGTGCTTGCGTGTGTGTATGCAGGAGACAGGGTATATCGGTGTGCTTGACTCCTTGTGGTAGCGCGAGACTGATGCCAACTTCATAGTGCTATCTCACTGAAATGCCATGCCGAAGGTACCAAGTACAGCATTCCGCCCGGTCACATCATACTGACAACGGGTAAACCAGTTGTTGCCATTCCCCTTAATGCTGTTTCCCTATGTTTTTAGCTCGTGTTTTACAAAATGAAGTTTTGAGCCTGATGCTTTTTCATATATTTTTATATTAAAAGACTTTCTTATTGATTCTTCAGTCTTGTGTATATGTTGAAGATCATCAGCAAATCCATTAAGTTTTACTTCTGAAATATTTTGATTTGGTAATTTTATACGTTTTACGGAGTTAGCTCGAATAGTACAAGCAAAGGCTTTGCTTGGATTATGTTCATTAACGCGCTATCAGGCATCCATGACGCACTTCCCTGGATATAGGGAAGGACTTGGAAGTGAAATAATTTGTTTCAATACATGTTTTGACATTATCTTATACTGTAACATTTTAATCCAATTGCAATATAATTTACCAAATTTGAAAGCTTTAAAGCAGTGACTTACTCAATTCCATTTTGATCTATCTAAAGCTTTTTGTTGATCAATATGAATATTTGCCCCTTTTTCCTTTTTGTTCCTACATATCACAATTATCAATTTTATCTTATAATTCACTATTAGCTTCCATTATATGTCTAACTGCTGGTTGTTATGTTATTATATTTTTATCATCCATTCCTTTCCAAATTATCCATTTTATAATTTATATGACTGTATTTTTTTTTATCAATATGGAAAATTCATTATTCCTGGAGTAGCCTAGTATAACATTGTCCTGTGTATCTACGACCAAATAGCGTAATATCTGAGTCTCTCCGTAGGAAATAAAAATATACAGGACCAAGCTGTAGACCGACAACATAGTGTAA